TCTCCATGTGTCTATTGATGACAGTAATCCCAGCTGTGGAGCTATAACTTATGCTTCTGCCAATTGCACCGTCAACTAATTCCTGCATATCCTCAAATAGAAAGTGGGAGTGAGGCTTGGGTAAAAACAGTCTCATCTAGCTGTATGGTATTTCTGCAGATGGTTCACGATAAGAGCCATGTTGAGAAATAAAAGATAACTGTCCACTGAAATGATAGGGCTTTTATTTTGAAATGTCTNTTTTTTTTGGAAAGCTGCAGGGAGCTCACGCTAGCTCCCCCTCATAAACGCTTTCACACGTTTTCCCAAATCTGTGTGACGGAGGGAGGAGTTACACAATCATGACACAATCACCACATTAATGGGAAGCAGGTTGAAATAAACCAGAATTCTCCTGCAGTTAAAAAGAAAAAAGTGCATTTCTCAGCTTGTGTGTGATGAACCTTCACCGGATGTTTCTACTCTTACATCACTGTCAGTACCGGAGCAGAAATGATCGATAAATCATATAAAATAATAACCAACAGTAGATCATTTTAGTCACTATTACATTCTTTACATTAAATCCAACCGAAGCAGCAGTGAACTGATCTCTCCATAGAGTCCTGTCTGTATCCAAAACCTGATTAAGCTTGTTCTTCTGTGCCATGGAGCTCCGCTGTTGTCCAAAAAAACTATTAAAAGCACATCAGTGAGCCCCGCTGTTGCACTGGGTGACACGTTTCTTCATTACAAACACTCGGCGCGCTTTGGTTTATTTAGACAACAGCTCCCCAGACTAATATCAGCGTTGGCTTTCACAGCCTCTCTCAGGCGGAGCTACCTGTAAAGCTGCTCTCTCTCTCTCTGCACTGCTTTGAGAGCTCGTTAGGCTGCGTACCACAACTTCTGACTGAAATTCTTTAAGAAATATGAGTCTGATTTATGCAACAAGTGTGATGTCTGGTGCACAGGATGTGACGGATTCATGGGACGGTGCTGTGAAGGGGACGCCGAGGAGTCACCACAGCGTTGGAGGCTTTGCTCAGGATGGACAAAACTCATTGTCCCAGCTGGTCCTGAAGGCATCAGTTCATCAGTAATTGTTCTAGTGTAATCGCTTTATGATAATAACATGTCAGACTGATGTGAACTCAGTGTTGTACCTGCAGTGTATTTGGAGGCACCAGGGCATGTGAGCAGAGCGGAAACTTTGCTCCCGTCGCTCTCGTGCCCACGGCGGTCATCCAACACCGCTCAACGCTCCACTCAGACTTCACCCCACTCCACACAAATCACTCACCATCCGCTGCTGTAATGTCATTTTAGCTCCAACTTCAACCAGTTCGAATAAAACCACAGATTGCCACCATTCCTTCCCAGCTCGCTCCTCTTCCGGTAGCCGCTGATGCAACTCCAAAATTTAGACTCTCTATCCAGCTAACCACAAGCTCATATTAGATTACACTTTTGACAATACAAAGCATGTTCCTGCCCGTGCGCGGTGGCCTCTACCTTACAGGGTTTCCATGCCGGAGACAGCGGAAAGCGATCATTATTATGCGTCTGGGATTTACAACTTCAGCGCCCGCAGTCCTCATAATGAAGAAACATTTGAACCGGTGCAGTTCTGTGGCTCACTGATGTGTTTCTTATAGCTTTATGCTTCATAAATAAGGCTGAAGTGACTCTGAATTTGAATATTTAAACTTAATGGCGTGTGCGTGGTCGTCCATTCAAAACACATACCGCCCGGGACCTGGAGGCTGACTTTATGGACCCACGGCGGGAGCAGCGGTGGTGATTCGGTTGTCATACGGCCTCCCCCCCGTTTGTGCTTCATAACTATAATTAGCTCCGCCATGAAACAGCAGTTTCAAATCGGCTGCAGAAGAAGTTGACGCGAAGCAGCTGCAGGTTTCAGTTCGGCGGTTCACAGCTTTAGGAGGAAGTTGTTCAGACTGAAAAATGTTGCTTTAACTGCCAGAGAACAGCGGTGGGTAAATCACTGGGAGTGGATTTTTTTTGTTACTCACCGCTAAGAGAGAGAGCGGGAGAAAGCCGGCGTACGTTCAGCCGTGGAAACGATACCGAATCCGTGACCTGTGACTCACTTTGAAGATGAGTCAGCGGCGGATCTTTATTTTAGGCCGAGCCGAGGAATTCAATAATCAATAATGTTATTACATAATACACACATGCTGTTGCTGTTTATCTTTTCCAATGTACATAACTGTTTCTTTCTTATAAAATCTTTTTTTTTTCATACCTCAGGACAACTTGTGCTCTCTTCAGTTGACAGTTTGAAGCATCTGTCCTAATAAAGACAAAAGCACCGTCTCTTGTGATATTTAAATTGCAGGAGTTCCCCCCCCTCCCCTCCTTTTAAATTTTTTTTTATATTGGTTATCTAATTTAAAGCCGCATCGAGAAGCTTTGACAGATTTTGGTTTATTGTTCCGCTGTGAGATTTGCAGCATCTGCTGAATCAGCTGGCACTGAAATAATGATCCCGTCCTTTGAGGCTGGCGTATTATTATACATCATTATGTTAAAAAATCATTTCTGTGTGTGATGAAGTTTAATAACTTCCACTAAGTGTTATGTGGCCACTCAGAATCCATCATTCACACCGTCGTAACGTTCCACCGGGGCGGAGGGTGAAACGAAAAGTAGCCTGATGGTACCGTGTGCGATTCGTCCACAGGTTCTTGTTTGGCTTTGTTGATTCAGCAGGAGAGCTTGGATGATGCGAGCTAAAGATCCCGCGGCTCTCTTTGACAATGACTTGGATTTGGCAGCAGCTAATGGATGACACACTCCAAGGTGTGAATGGAGGTTTGATGTGTTGCCCTCTTTGTCAGCAGCTGTCTCGAGGCAAAAAAGTGGACACTGGTGATGCCACGCTCGACCGCGATTGGACGGTTTGGTTGAAAGCTTCATAAAAAAATTCCGCGGGTTTAGGCGAGCCGGGTCAGAAAGTGATAAAGCATCTGTTCTGACGAAGTTCTGAACAGCTTGCAGAAACCGTACTCGCATTAAGCTCGGCTGGTTCTGCCGTCACCTTTCTCTGTCACTCACTGTCTCAAAAACACACAAACACACCGGAGCGCCGAGGTTGTCTGAAATAAAAATGAGCGTGGAATTATTAATGTGGCAGGTACAGTTAAGGGGTCCTGCAACTGGGAGCGATGACGGGAGACAGTCAACAGAAGACGACGACTGAATTGGTTGCCAACTAATTAAAACTCCATCCGGCCCAGGCGACAGGGAAGTTGTTTTTTAAACTACAGTTTCAGTGGGTTGGAGACGGACATAATGGTTGGAAATCTCACCAGTTTTTTACCAACTTAACAACACTAGCCAGACTCGGGTTGAAGAAGTGCAGCTGGTGGGCACCTTGTTCTTGGAAAGTTATGACAGAATCTGGGACCCTACCTTTATGCTGCCATTGTGCTGGTCCCCCATCAAAAATTAAGACTTCAGCGGCCTGCTCTGTCTCTTTACATGTCCAGTCTGGCTACCTGCCATTCAGGGCGCACATGAGAACTCGCTGCACGTGTGTTCTGACATAATACAGTAAAGCTGGATATTGGAAATCATAAAAACCACACGTACAAAGGAAAAGCACACCACGACATAATCGCCACACCAGTTTAACAGAAAGAGGAATGTATGTGTTTTTGATGATACTGAACATTACTCTGGTGTACGATAAATACCCTGATACCGCCCAAGCATACCGTAATTTCTGGACTATCAGCCACTACTTTTTTCTCACGATTTAAACACAGCGGCTTAAACAATGATGCGGCAAATTTATGGTGTTTTACAAATTTGACGAAAGTGACATCGAGAGCGAAAGAGAGATGGAGGAGGTGTGTGACGAAGTAATTCTGAGGCTGTTTGAATCCGACACTGAAGACTTTAGTGGTTTTAGTGCGCAGGAGGAAGATGAAGATAGCGATCAATGACTTTTCCTGGTAGGTGTGTGTTGCCGGAACGTATTTAATTAAAAGTTTTTTAAAAATCCTTGTGTGTAAATATCTCATGTTACAACGTGGACACCCGTGGCTTATATATGTAACTTTTTTTTTCTTTTTAAAGTTAGTGGGTGCGGCTTATATTCAGGTGCACTCCTCGTCCGGAATTTACGGTAATAGCCACATTAGTATACATGTGCAGTCTGTGGTCATCTGACGAATGTAAGTGGAATATTCACTGTAGTTTTCCCTCTGTTTTGGTCTCCACCAGCTCCTAAAGGGCTGTTCACTTATGATCCCCGTGTAACCGGACAGAGCTTGAGCAGTTTTGCAAAATAAAAAGAATGTGCTAAATTAGCAGTGTCCACATGTGCATAAGCTCAAAGGGTATTATTATTTTGCAATTTATATTAATTGACATCACGATGTAGAAACCTGTTTTCACTTTGACAAGAAAGAGTCTTTTTTGGGCAGTTTTTGGTTAGAAAACCCAAATTAAATCAGCCATGATTCAATGTTGAAAAGCAATAAAAGGGGAAAACTTCCAAAGAGGGTAATTACTTCTTATAGACTCCGTGAAGTGGGTTTTTAGAGATTTTTTTTTACTGATAGCTTCCTGCCTTGTTGAGAGCAGTGACAGGAAAACAGAACAGTAAGCCTCTAGAAGCTAAACAGTGGGCTTAAAGATAACTCAATTGTGTGCGATTTAATCCAATCTTTGTCATGTCATGTCAGAACATAAGTCATCTAAGGACTTTGCCCAGTAAAGTCAAGACCTTACAATATTGTAGAGAGAAACTCAGCAGCAGAGTTGGGTGATAATGTGAGTTTTTTCAGTGATTTGATCGATTATTCCTATAAAAATTGTGTTTAAAGCAACTTTAAAGCTACTTTGTAAATTAAAAGCGCAGTCTATCACATTTTAACCTTAATAACTCTGTAAGAACACGACCTTCTTGCTAATGCAGAAGGGAAACCCGTCTCCCCCGTTCAAGCGCTGCAAATTTCAGCAAGTCTTCCATCCGAACACCGACTCACCTGTCTGATGGCGCACAGAAGCTTCCCGTAGCAGAACACGATCACCAGGAACGGCACGATGAGGCAGAAGACAAACAGACAGACGATGTACGATATGTTGTTCGCCGTCTTGGCCGTCCAGTCGACGGAGCAGGTGGTCCCGGGGCCCTCGGGGCCGTAGTGGCTCCAGCCGAAGAGCGGCGGCACCGTCCAGATGAGGGAGTAGACCCAGGACAGGGCGATGCCCAGGGAGATCTTGCGGTAGTTGGAGGAGTCGGCCTCAGTGGGGGCCATCATGGTGCTGTAGCGCTCGTAGGAGAGGACAGCCAGCGAGATCAGGGACACGATGCCTGCAGCGTGGACAGGACACACATGCATAGGTACACTTTATATGCATCTATGTGGTACAAGGCTGCAAATAACCAGCATTGTCATTATTGATTAATCTATTGTTTAGTTGTCTTGAGCAATAGACTAGTTGGTAGCTCTATGAAAGGCTAAAAATAGTAAATTCACCCTCTTTTATGGTAAATCTAATGGTAGATCAATGCTTCTCAAACTCTATGATGCCTTCCTTTGTTCACACTCCAATAATTTTCAGTTTACTGCGACAGAGTCGTGTTAAAAGAACCTAAACATTAAACATTTAAAAAAACGTATTTCAAAGGATTTTGTCCGTTTTTTTCACTCAAACCGATTAACCCTTTCAACACGAAGTATCTTTGGGTTGAAATACTCCTTCAACTCTCAGTAACTGTGCTTGAAATTCATGATCAGATATGGTTTTGATTAATCACAGAACTTCACATCATTACATATCTGGTATGGATCAAAAGTAGACAAGTTGACGGTTACATATATCTGGAAGTTTACTCTTGTCATGTACATACAGGTGTGAAAAAGAAAAGGTAAACTTCATAATTACCAGGGATGCATGCAGTTAATCATCAGTTCTTATCTACTGAGACATCAAGTCTTGTAATTAGTTTTGACCGCTTGTAAACATTTCAGAAACGAGGTAGCGAAAGTCCCATTTTCTGGTGATTTTTGGGGTCAAACGATGTCATTTTACTTCATTTGCATAATTAATTTCATGATTGAATCGCTTGTTCACATACTGCCCATCAAAATGAACGTAACAGAAAGTCGCCGTATACCGGAGCCGCTATACCAGCCTGCAGGATTGAACAGGAGTCGTAAAGCCAGCCTGGTGTAGCGGGCTATACTGTTGAAAGGGTTAACCGATCATCGTAATAGTTACCAATTATTTAAAGAGTTTCCAACAACTTGTTGAACAGCTTCAGTGTGGTTTAGACACCAGCACAGAGTGGCGTAGCATCAACGGTTAAGCAAAGGACATAAATACAACACACAGGAGCCAGCATAAGGCTGCAGACAGCATGTGCAGGTGTGCTCTTTGGTTTTTTCTACCCTCAGTGTGGTATTTCACGTTTAATTGGACCATAAACTAGAGACAGAGGAGCACTGCCTGTCCAAATGTTTATCTTCTCTAGTGAGGAAAACATGCACACTGGCTGGCCGTGACATAAAGCCCCGCTTCGCTCTCTGCAATCGGACGTGCAGGTAAAATGAGCCTCATCGGTTCACAGGGAGGCCACGTTATGACTTAGAAAGATAATCGCCTAAGTGGAATGTGCAGCGAAGTAAAACAACACAAAAAGGAATCACCTCATATTTCAGGTCACACTGTGGGGCCGGCAGCAGATCACACAGCTGTACCTTATGAGCAGTGGCACTAAATGAGTCTGAGTGACAGAAGCAATGCAGTGAAACACAACACAGACATATTCAGAAGCTGTCTTATCTTTCCGTAAACGCCCAGTAAGCACACACAAAGTCTTCTTTTCTCGTCGTCGCCCTTCCTCGGTATTTCAGAGGCCGAGCAGCCGGAGCCTGGAGCTCGGCGCTCACGCTGACCCCGCAGCCTTTTGTGCCTGTTTGCTATTTGTTTTGAGGCCGTTATAATCCAGGAGGCCGTCTTTTAATGCCCATCGATTTTCAGCGGCAGTGAACTTGATGCTCCTCTGAAGGAGGCGGCTCAGGCCTTGACCGCGAATGAATAAAAGTAAAAGGTGAGGAGGGGAAAAGAGTGTTTAAAAAAAATGAGAAAAACTCGAGTCAGCAGAGCAAAGTGGAAACAAATTTCAGCTTTGCCATTGAAGATGATGGTTTTGTTTTTGTGTCTGCTTGTGTGCTCTTGCATTGTGCAAATAAATTGACCACACTCTCTTCACCCCTGACTGCAGAGTCTCTGTGGCACAGCGTGGTATGCTCGTCTGTTTGCCCCCAGATATTGAACTCATGTTGCTTTTCCTGCACAGACTGCTCAGCTCCGGGCTTTTATTAGCTCTCATACTGCAATATTACAGAGTCGACACAGTTTTACAACAACCCACTTATGCTTCTGTTTGATCTGGGCTGACTCATAGCAACCCCCAAATATATTTACCATATTTTTTTTTTTTTTGATAAAAGATGCCTAACTCTGCTCCTTGCTGCTGTGTCTCATCTTTTGTTATTCTCTGTGTGCACTCTGTGAGGTTGGAGATGAAACACTGGGAGTGCTGTCCTCTCACAGCAGGTGGACGCGCTGATGTAATATTTCAGATGAAATCTTTGCGCTGGTGTTTGTCGCTGGGTGTCACCAGTAAACAGCGGTGTGGTGCAGTAGCGACACTTAAAAGTCCCCCTTCCACCAACAAATGTGTTTTTGTCAGCGTTACTACCGGCGGATGTTTGACCTTTGCTGTGCAGAAACACTGGGAGGCTGTTTTCAAATTCTTCTGCTGAAGGGAGAAAGTTTTTTTTTGAGCTGCAGAGTTTAAGGTGTGAAAAAGTTTGCATGTGAGGGAGACGAATTTATAACCAGGTAGGTAAAGGTTTACAGTCGTGACTCGATAGTCCGACCCTTAACAATCCTAAACCTTGCTGTCCAACAGGTTTTTAGGAAAAACGAACAGAACCCATAAAAACAGCCTTAACATACTGACAGCCTTGGATTCTGACTCTGACATGACATTTTATGTCACCAATCAGGATAACGGCGTATTATCTGACTGAACAATCCCACAGATTGGCTACGTTCACACTGCAGGACTTAATGCTCGATGAGGATTTCTTTGTGAGTTCCTTCACATTTCCAGTTAAATGCGACGTGTATGTGATCTGCTGTGTGAACTTCATACGACCCAAAAGTGTCCCGCATGCGCAGAAGAGGACACGACGACGTCACACGCAGCGAGCGTGCTCAGTGTTTATTGAAGTAAACATGGATGGTAACGGTGGAGCGTGTCTGCTGCCCCCACCAATGGTGAAAACTTAAATGTGAGCGCTAACTAAACTAGCATCAGCAGCCAAGTACTGCCTGTGCGTTCCGGCCACTTCCACCCAATCAGAGCGCTCCCCCGGGGTGGAAGTGTTTCCCGACCGCGCCGAGTATTCTGATATTCATCATTAATTGGGCCTGAATATCCAGAGACCAGGAAGTGCTATTGGGACCAGCCCTACTAGTTATTATGACAACTATAAACAATAAATATTAACAACTAATGAGCCTTCTAGCATCAAGCCCTCCTTGTATCTCGACCTCCGTCTTGACAATCCGACAGCCTTGCTATCCGACATAAAAGGTTTTACATTTAGTGTCGGATTATCGATATATACAAGGAAAAGCCACATTAGACACAGATTCGAATTAAAATGAGTAATTTTTATATGAACATTGATCCAAAATAACCTAAAGCAGTTATTCTACATGTGTGATTCAACATTTTGCCAGAAATAACCCATTTGCACCATATTCTGTGAAACAAATCTGCACTCTTTAGTTTAAAGCCACGACTGACTCAACTTCGAGCAACAACAATCAAAAATTCAGCAACGACTCGGCTGAACTGCAGGCTGTGTTTATGCAGAGTAGAGAGAAGATAGCATGACAGATTAGGAGGAGAATCAAACGTACTTTATCAATAAAATCAATGCAGCCTTGCTCAGAGACGGTATACAGATGAGAAAGTTGTCAGTAAGTCGTTGGAAGACACATTTCGCCTGTTGAAATATCTCTAGAAATGTTGTTTGTTGAGGTTCTATAAATCTGAATAGTTCCACTGACTTCCTGTATTGGTCAGTAGGGATGAATGTCATGATAAGCTGCTGACAAGTTGCTTTTTCTTTACCCACACTGCACCATAACCATGTAATACTGCGCCAAAACCATCAACCAAATCTTAACTTCTTCCACCATGTAGGACCCTGTACTGGCACCAGGCTGTATCTATTATGAAAAAGGCAGATTCAGTGAAGAGTTGTGATTAAAATGCACTTAATATGTGTTGAAGTAAATCACAGAGCTGCAGTTTATAGACCTAATTCAGCACCACTAGTGTCACTGCCTCATTGTCATAACTGATGTTTACTGTCTTGTTTAAAGCTTTGGTTAGACAGAAGTAAAAACTATTGAATTTTAAAATCCCACGCTGGCCCCGGAGATGAAGATAAAGAGACTTATTTAATTACAAAAATGTACCCGTGTCTTTGATCCACAGATCCCAGTGTTGTTCGTTCTGACCTTACCGTTGGTGAGTTGCTGCTAATTGAAGTTGGCGATGTTTCTAAAAAAAATAGCTCAGGGCTTCGGGGGTTTGATATGCAAAGTTTGTAAAAGGTACTGACAAAAGATGTCTCCCTGCTGATAGGAGCGTCTCGTATTAAAATTAATGTGTCGTCTTGGAAGGCAAAGATAAATTTCGTTGCTTCGTTTGCCTGAGATAATTAACGATGGAATGCAGAGATGCATCAGTGTAATCCACATACCTGGACTTATGTGCTGATGTTACGTCCAGGTCCAATGATTTTACCTCCAGGAATGTGTTTCATTGTGGGGATCATTTTACAGTTTTTTCGTGTTGCCTACGAAATTTGAAAAGGCATTAATTTTGTGATATGTGTGAATCAAATGGTGTAAATATTTTATACCGTAGTCGTCCTCATTTAGGTTGCATCTGTGGAGTTTTATCATCCTGTTTGGTTTGCAGATTGCCTCGTCAGTCCCGTCCTATTATTAATGCAAGGGACCAATCCAGCAACCTAAAATCCATTTAGAAATCTCAATCTTGTTGTTTTTATTGTGGGCTAGCGTTAGTCCAGAGATCACTGGAGAAACACTGATTTTCAAAGTTATATTTACAAAGAAATTGTAATTAACGCAGAGCAGTCACATCCAGCTAATACCCACATTTATAAGGTCAACACTGGCACTGATATTGATCAAGAGTAGGGATGTAACAATACCAAAGAAATGTCGGAGATGGTACCAATACCACTGAAATTC